CTTTTTATGTCCAAGGGGGGTCGCAGATACTTTTTATGTCCAAAAGGAGGTCGCAGACACTGAATATGTCCAAAAGGGGGTCGCAGATACTTTTCATGTATAAAATAGAGGTTGCAGAAACTGTTTATGTCCAAAAGGGGGTCGCAGATACTTTTCATGTTCAAAAGGGGGGTCGCAGATACTTTTTATGTCCAAAAGGGGGGTCGCAGAAACTGTTTATGTCCAAAAGGGGGGTCGCGGTCCAAAAAGTTTGAGAATCACTGCATTAAACGATGAAATATGGGCGCTATTACTAGAATAATATGCCTTATTATTAAAGTGCAGGAAATTCATTTGATTGGTACGTTATTTATTATGTATCCCAATGACAACAGATTGATTTCGCTGCAGGAATGTTAATAACCGCGATCACCTTATAAGTGAAGCACGACGCAATTCTAATCGAAACGAGAAGGATTGATGGATCGTAACTTCTCGCACGAACTTTTTGATCCAGTTATCACAGCAACAACAACAACAAAACAAAAAAAAAACTATCCTTGACAACGAGACCACCGCATTTGCAATTCAAATCCGAATCGCGCACACACACAATAGTATGACTTCCAGTCGCATTGTTGTCCGATAATTAATTAAGATGTATTACCGACAATCCTTCTTCCATTCAAAAAACCAGTTGTATTACTACAATATTCCTGTTTTGTTTTACTTTTCATCCCTTTGCAATTCGAATACTCTCTTTTGAGACACAATCAATAAACCCATCAATTCGTAATTTGTGCTCTACATTCGTGGGTGGATCGTTGCCAAGATATAGTAGAAAGAGCAACAACAAAATAGAAGAACACAAGTAAACGCTGTTTCGTTGTATACGAAGCGAAAGAGTAATTTTAATTATGGAATTCCGTAATTAATTGCTGGGATTTCCTGTATAAATGATGGTGCGTCTGCAGCCATTAATAACATTTAATTCCTCTTTTGGGGGGGGGCTGAACTCTTTATCTACCCTTAAACATCCAAAAACGCGACGCGTTTTCGCACAGTTAACGTTCATTTCGTAATTAAAACGTTTATTTTGCTTTTGATTATTGTAATTGACATTGATTGGATTGCGAACGATGACGGATTGTTCGAAGTTTGTGATTTAAATTACGCTTTCAAATACGCAGCAATAATTCGTTTATTAATACGTTTTTAGAGTGCCGTTAAAGTTATTTTTATTATACTCGAAGGAAGTGAATAGTAATTTATTATTATATCTTTTAAACAAACTTTTATCTTCCAATTTGAATGTTTTAACAATAAATTGAGTAACATTTTCCATAGAAACATTACTTTCTTTATAAAAAGTTATCAATAAAAATGTTAAATTTTTTGATAAATTACAACGTAGCAGGAAAAAAATGAAGTTCTTTTTTCTTTGAATTGAAGGATCTTCATTCATTGAATACCAGTTACTGTTAGTTCCTATTTACATTTCAAATTTTAGACCTGCTCTCAGCTCAAGGTCTTCAGTTATCTTCCTGACTGCTCTCGTGAAACATGTTATGACCCCTCTTCATATTACAGGATTACAGAAACTTCGTGACATCTTCATCGTCAACCCTCAAATCAAGTTATGAAACAATAATAATTACTTTACAAAAAAATATAATAAACACTTAATTTTATATACATTTGATTATAAAACACATAATTCGGTAATTATATGAATTTGCAAATATTGTAATTGGACAAAATATCAATATTTGCTTGTAGTTATTTAAAATATGAAACGAAAAAAGGAAATTATGAAATAGAAAATCCGGATTCACTAATTTCCCTTAAAGTGAAATCGGAATGCGCCGAAGAAGTACCATTAAATGGAAGTGAAGAAAGACAGAGAGAGAGAGAGAGAGAGGAATGTATATAATTTCAGGTAAAAACTTTTACAGCCTTAGTCATGGTTCCGTTTCCGAGAAAAGGAAGTCGATTAGATATTAGCCGTCTTTCCCGCTTTTGCCAATACGTAAGGGGAGGACGGACGGACAGACCAGTTGGTAACTGTTCGAAATACCCAACATGTGTTTACTCTGTTAAGGGTGCGCACGAGGTAGAAAAAAAAAGAGGGACGAAAAAAAAAAACTCGTCGGACACCCTTCTTCGTAGTCCCAACAGTGACCCGGCTCCGCGCGCATGGTGTTGAATAAGAAGTGTGTGCAGTTCTTTAAACCAACGAAAATAATATTTAACAACAACAACAAAAATATATACAGGATATTCGCGCCCAGCGAAATATGAGCACGGAAATCGATAGAGTAAATAATTCTACTACACTTTTCTTTTTTTTTTAATGTTTTTTTACGTTCGTCCAATACTTGGGACAATGAGTAATCGTCCTTGGGATTGGCTTCTGTTTTACGTTTCGGCGCAATAGAGAGCAGAATGCAAATCGGATCTCTTTCGTCTCGCGATTTATTTCCGTCACATTTCATTTCGGGGGGAGAAAAGAAAAACATTCAGAAGATGGGCGAAGAAAAGAAGAAAAAAAACACGAATAATGAGCAGACGAACGAAAGAAAAAAGTACACATTTCGACCGTCCAAATCCTCTTCTGCACGACAGCGGATCGTAATTTTCTCGAGGATTCCATTCCACTGTCTGCTGTCTTCGTATTTACATCACAATAATTATTCACTTTATACCATATTTTTCTTCTTTTTTCTCTATTTTTATTATTTGAGACACATTATTTATCTTTGTCATCTTAGCTATAAATATGATATAATCTTACAACATACTTTAAATCATTTTCATAAAAAACTAGACATAAAACAAACAAGTTTTTATATAAATTTATTATACAAGACGAACTCTATTAATTACCAAAATATAATTAATTTATTGTAAGATTGTAGCATCATTTAATTTGATTATCAGTAATATTCTGACTAAAAACTACATAGATTAAGATGATCCTTCATATACTTTGACTTAAACCAACGTAGATCATCAATTTTTTGGAAAGATGACCTATGATATTCCAGACTTGATGATAAGAAAACCCATAAAATGTGTTGTGTCAACAAAAGTGTTATTCAAAATGTCACGTTGACATTTAATTATCTAAGATGTTGTTCATATTTAAGTTTCATAAATTTTACTGAATAGTAGTAATATGACAATTGGACATATTTTAAAAGAAATCAGATAATAATTGAATATTTTAAAAATAAATCGGATTTATTAATATTTTTTAATTATTTTTTTGTGTTTAGTTGAATATTATAAAAGAGTTAAACTGTGTATGGGATTGATTAAACTTGTCCAATTCAGAATGGAATTTAATGAACTATTATTTGTATCCTTAACTTGAGATTCGAATATTACTACTTAGATAGAAGACATAATTTGTCGCTGGAGGAAACCTTTAATGTTTTATTGATTGACCTATAATGGTGCTTCTTGTAATCTGACACTGATCAATTATTTACTCGTCGAATCCGGAAAGTTTCAGATATTTTTCTTCAAGAAAACAGCATATATATATATTTTTATTGTCGGGAAGCCAATTAAAAAGTCAATATTTGAGGAAAATAGGACGTTTCTCATTTAGCGAAACGCTGTGTGTTGCGTAAACGATAATCGATTGTTTGTTTGTTTGTTTTCCAGGTTCAAGTCGGCGACGTGATATTGAAAGTCAATGAAACGGATGTGATCAACTTCAATACGAAAGAAGGTGAGCTCATCGTAGGTAGTTGTGGTGTCGTCCTCCTTAGGCCTCCCTGTAATGTTGGAGTGCTGTTGCTGCTGCTGCGCGGCTTATGGGAGATGAGGCAGGCGGGTTACGCAAGGTTTTTCATTTATACAGTAGTAGTCTCTTCTCTTTTATATTTGTGAATCATGAATCATTCAAGTCTTTGCACCAGTTTATACCGAGCGTCGCGTGTCTCAGCGTCCGTAAGACCGTTCATATTTATGGCATATCTACATCGCGTTGTTTGTTACTATTATTATTATTATTATCTTGTCGTTGTTTTTTTTTTATAATTGGTAACTCGCTCCCTCGCTAGAATTCTATCTTATCTTAATAATATCGTTATATAATAATATATTATTTTTTAATTATTTACTTGGGGACAAAAGAAAAGGAGTTGGTCCTCTCACTAATTTTTTGGTTGGACCTTATTTTTGGTAGTGGTTTGTCTGAAAGGCATATATTTCTCTCCTTCTGTGAGGTGGCGGATGAGTGTGTGAATAGAGTGAATGTTTGGGGTCGGTCGGATGTGCATACATACATACATATATCTTCTTCTTCTACGGAAAACAGGGATGAGATATTGTGTTCATATGTGATTCCTTTTGCAGTTTTAAAATGTCTCCGACTATCGTCAGACCCGGTCACCTTAAAAATAAAGAGAGGTACGTTCAGTAGTTAAGCCTTGTGTGTAGTTTTACCTCTTGGAGAGAGTGAGCTGCTTTAGTCGGTGTCGGTGTTTATTTGTTTTTTGTTGTTGTTGTTCTTGTTCTTGTTTTATTATATTTATTTATAATTTTACGTTACTATTCCTTGTTGTTGTGTATTAATCACTACCTCCCTGACACGAGTAAAACCAGTGTTATTAAGATCGCTTCTTACAAAGCATGTAGTTGGCTTTAGATTTGTTTTTAGATGTCGAAAAAAAAAACCTATAATATAATTATAAACAAGCTTCCGTTGTGTTCTCATTATTATTATTATTACGATTATTATTTTCTGTTTTTTTTTTTTTATATTCTCTCTCTGATTTCCGATGTCGTTTGTGTTCAAGAATCACACTGATTGTCTTTGTCTTTCTTTTTTGCTCTTTTTTTTCTTGGTTCGGATTGCTTGCAGACCCGAACGTAAAAGCGACGTTCCAGAAGCAGCTCTTGAGCTCAGGAGGAGATGATGGGGACGTGATAACTTTGCATCATCCGAGGGCTGGAAGTAACAATTACAACCAGGGCAGACCAGAGCCGGCAGTGCATCGGACCAATGGCAGCTGTCCCGAGCAGCAGCCTCTACTCGCACAGGAAAATGATAGACTTTATTGGCAGCCGCTCGAGGAGAAACCAAAGGCGCCCAAGTTCGAGGCCTTCATGATGACCGGAGACAAGATGCTGAACATTTCCAAGACGCAGCAGAGCATCTTGCCAAAACAGCAACTGAAAAAGGTCTCGTCCTTGATACTTTTCTTTTGTTTATTCTCTCTCTCTCTCTCTCTGTATATCTTCATTCTTTCATCTCTCAACCTTCTCTAACTATCTTCGTCTTGTCTCTGCATCATATAAACAATTCTTCTTGTAAACACACTCTTCATAATTGATGACAACTCTACATTTTTCATATGCACTTTAAAGTTGTCACAGATTATAACAATAGTCTCTTTTAGTTTCGTAGCATAATAATATACTATTACTTTCATCTTTTGATAATATATTTTCAATTATGTTTAAAAACTAATAACTTCAAGAAATTGTACAAGTACAAGAAAACTTTTATATTACAATCAATAATATTGATATTTGATTTCTTTGATTACTTAAGTAAGTTAAAAATCAAATTTCCATCAATACTTAACTTTTTGATTCATAATTTCTGAAAATCTGACATTAAACACATTTTTTAACGGTATAATTAGTAGGCGCGAAACAGTTCCTAATTTGTATGATTTTATCTAGATTACAATTAGTAAATCTATGTGGGAAAATATCATTTTGTTTTAAAAATGCAATTTTGTTTGTTTGTAAAATTGGTACAGTTCTTAATTGTGTATTAATGAAGTTGTTATTAGTTTATTTTATTAGGGTGTATTTTGTGAAGGTTTTGTGTAATTTTTACGTAAAATGATTTCTTAATTATCTTAACTACTCGAAAACGTGATATTTTTGGGCATAGCAATGTGATTGTTTGTTTTTGACGTTGACAAAAGATGCGAAGAGGTGTGTTGATGATTTCGAGTGTTTTTGTAGGTGGATCACGCGAGGTTCCACAACAGCCACGCACATCACTTGAGACATCAGCAGCATAACTCGGTGCCGAACAGTCCGAACGAGATGGACATGGGTCTGAGAGGAAACCACCGATCGTCGGGCCCGAACTCCGCCAACACCTCTCCAATCAGTGCCAACAAAAGAGATTCGAACCCGTCGCCGAGTGACAAAACATTCAATAATTTCGTGCGAACGAGCAGATCCGAGGATCAGCTGCAGGACACGAAGAGCATGAGTGCGGTCGACATCGACGTGGACGATGACATAACGAGCTCGCTGAACACGCTGCTGGACACGCGGCCCGATGCCGGCTCCTCCAGCAACGTGTGCACCTCCAGTAACAGTGATAGAATAGTGTGGACGTACAACGCCCCGGTGACGACGAGCGCCGAGCAGAACAAACTATGCCAGACCCTCTCGAACGGCAGCAGCTCTTCGCCGACGTCGTCGAGCCCATTGCGCTCGACCTCGCCGCAGTCCCCCACGTCCGTGTCTTCCTCCGTGATGTCGAGCCATTCGGGCTCAGCCCGGAAACTGCCCTACACCCTCACCAATGGCCCGCACACCGATTCCGGTCAGTACAATCAGACCAACGGCGGCGACTTCAGCGTCTCTGAAGCCATCTCGAACATCTCCAGTCCGGACTACCACGACGACGACAGCATGGGCATCCGGGACTACGTTATGGAGATCAGCGATCACAGCGACAGCGATAGCACTCTTCTCGTCTCCGAACCCAGGCAGAGACTCGGCTCCGACGGTGATCACAGGATCGTCATACAGGTCAAAGGACCGGACAAGGAGCAGCAGAGCACCGTCAAGGACCGCGGAAAACAATCCTCCAACAAGACCAACAACAAAGATCAACCTGTAAGTCTTCAATTCCTCAATACTACAACTATTTCTACAACAATCCAAATCTTCAATCAACATATTACATTCTTCAAGTTAATATTAAAAATAATCAATTATCTCTTATTTATTTACAAACTCATCATTATTATAATTAATTCCTTAGAATTTCTATATTTCTCAAAATCTATTGATACAATTCAAAACATTTCAAGTCCACTTTTCTTCGTTTCGAAAATTTGAAATTGTTATTAATGTACCTAATTTATTATTAATGACGTCGCTTTTAGTTTACTTTATACGGGTAGTTTTTCCATAATTTTGCCCAATTATTTCCTAATTACCTTATCAACTGAAACTCAATATTTACGTGGAAGTTATTTAGTCTATAAACGGCATCAATTGTCATTCCTTACAAATTACTGCATACTTTTTATACAAGTTTTCGCTCATACATTTCATCTTGTGAATCGAATCGAAGTGAAAAGTTAGTAAGTATTAATGAGACACAAGTATTATTTCATAATTACATTCAATATTTTTTTATTAAAAAGAAAATACAAATGAAAGTTTTCTAATTACAGAAGATAATCGTTAACATGAAAAAATACTTAGAATTAATGAAACACAAACTTCTAATTCTTATTATCTTGTTTAAAGATGAATATCAACAGAAATTCACATTTGTGTTTTATTAAATAAGATCGTTTAATCAATTTCAGTTTGTTGAGTATATAAATTCGTACATAAAAGTTGTATTTACAAGATCGCATCGATTGAAACTAATGAATTTAGTATTTTATAAGATTAATATCTACATGCAAATACCATTGAGATATTTAATAATCGTTTAGTATTAACCATACAATGCTGAGCAATTATATTATATAAAAATATTATGAAATTTTAAAAACAAACGTACTCATCGTCATAATTATAAAAGACTTATTCTGAACGCTTTTACTGTTTACTCTTAAGATATTTTTATATTTTAATAACTCCAGACTTAAGATTTTTATTGAGAAGTTTATTTTTATAACGACCGGAAAAACGAAGTACCTTCGTGATTTAATGAGCCGCGATAAATTTCCGTTCATAAATAGACTTCGGAGGAGGAAAAGTGTATGTGTTTGTGTGGAGGGCTGAATGTTGCGTAACTTATTTTCGGTTTCCATTTCATAATTACGCGTTTAAATAAGATTTGGCAGTTCGGAATGAATATTTTTTTTGGCAGAGGCCGGCGCCATCGCGCACCAAGAAGCACAATGTTAACAAACTTGCAAACACTTTGTGTGTGTGTGTTTTTTTTTTGGGACGAAAATCCGCGAGTTACCGTTACGCAATGAAGATCTCCGAACTGTTGATTTCTTAGTTGCCGAAACTGGAGTGGCACGTAGAGAATAAACGATACGCGTTTTATCTATGTGAGGGAGAGAAAAACAGAGAATTAGAAAGAAATCGAGCTGTATATCTTATCTGCTAATTCTACTCGAAATGCGGCTTGCATTGCAAAAGCTCAGTCACGATAATAGAATCTGTAATATGTGTTGATTTTGATATGATATGGGAAAGGTGAGATATATGCCGAGTTAATGAACGGGACGTTTTTTTTTTTGATTATAATCGTCGTCGTCGTCGAGGCTGGATCGGTTTTAGTAGTACTTTTGTTTCGTTCCTTTGCAGACCTTTGACCAGCAGACCTGCTACTATGGAATGGAATTGACGGACGTGGTGGAGGACGTGTGGCCGCCGGCTTCCGAAGACGACAGCGATCTTGAAAGTCTGCACAGTTTTCACCTGACGCCTAAAGCAGTTGACATGCCGTCGGCAATACGACTGGCGAATCGTCTTTACAATTTGGACGGCTTCAAGAAATCCGACGTTTCCAGGCACCTCAGCAAAAAGTTTGTTGAACAATCTTCAATTTCAAACATGAACAAATCTAATCTAATATCAATTTGCAGCAATGAATTCAGCAGAGCCGTTGCCGACGAATATTTGAAGAATTTCAATTTTTACAAAGACATATTAGACTTTGCTTTGCGAAAGTTCCTCAAGCAGTTTTCCCTGACCGGCGAGACGCAGGAGAGGGAGAGAGTGCTAGTTCATTTTTCGAAGAGATATTTAGACTGTAATCCGGGTTCCTTCAATTCTCAAGGTAATTTTTGATTACGATTCCTGATTTTTTTTTTTCGAAATGTTGTAATGCTTGTGTGTTTCAGATGCCGTACATACCTTGACGTGCGCCATAATGTTGCTCAATACCGATCTGCATGGCCAGAGCATGAGTAGAAAAATGACCTGTAGCGAATTTATAGAAAATTTAGCTGGACTAAACGAGGGTGAGAACTTCCCGAAGGACGTACTGAAGGAGCTCTACAACGCGATCAAGAGCAACCCCCTGGAATGGGCACTGTAATTATATATGCCTGAACTCAATCTGGCTGTTCTTTTTCTAATCCAACGGCACGCATTGATTTCAGTGACGAGGAGAACGAGGATAACGTGCAGATGCAGCTGAAACCCATCGATTCCAACATCGGCGGAAATCCATTCCTGGACGTGCCCTGCCTCACGAACGCCATCGAATACAAGAAGGGATACGTGATGAGGAAATGCTGCTACGAGACCAACGGAAAAAGAAGTGAGTTCATCCAGATTGTTTGCCTCTTTGCAGTTATTACTTACTTACTTACTTATCCCTTTGTTTACCGTTACCTTATTTACAATTACTTTTAGGCTAGCCTTAGAATTTTAACTCTTGTGTTCTATTGTTTCCTATTTTTTACATTACTTTTCTTATGTTTCTACTTTCGTGCTAATGCGACAGAGGTGTATGGTAAGCCAACAAACATCACCAAAAACCAACAAACATAATATCGACCCGATACATACATGTTCAGTGTGTTGTTGTATTCTGTTCTTGTTCTATTTCTTCAAGCACTAAACCCAGAATCTGGGCTTCCATCTCAAAAAAGAGAAAACTTTATTAAAAGCTTCTTCTTCAACTACTTCATCTTCTAAGTATGTACTGATTCATTAAAACTAGGCTTTAACATTCATGTATTTAACATGGAAAATATCTTCAGTTTCTTCTAAATTTTCATTCATTTTTCAATATTCGAATACATGATGTTAAACCCTAATAAAAAACATGCTACTTCATACACTGTAAAATAACAAAGAATATATCGGTTTTTGGACGAATATCCTTATTTACGTAAAATATAAAAACTGATATACGTCCATCCGTTTTCACTCATTCAAATCTCTCACGTTTAATACGATTTTCTTTCCATACTCGACACGGTTTTGTTCTTTAAAACGCTTTAATGTGCAAACAAAGCAAAGAAGAAAAAAAAACACATTACTATCCTATTAACACTCTCACATCACAATGTTTCCGTCTCGTTGTTGCTGTTTATGATTTTGTCGCAAATTCTACACGTTTTTTTTTTATTTTCGTTTAATTTATTCGAGTTTCCCAGGACTTTTCTTTCGTTCACAATGGAGAAACGCCGCTTCCGGTTCATTACATTAATCTGTATATACAAACAGTAAACATTTAAGTGTATAAAAATCCATCATCGAAAGCAAAGCTGCGATTTGGGTGAATTTCGGAAGTGCATTGTGTGCGCATTAATTGACTGTGTGCCGTCGTCTTCCTTAATTAAAACCGCTCGTCTTCCAGACGCAATTAAGTCTATCCGATGGAATCCGCTCACATCCAACTAACGCTTTGTTACTAACTCAATGATTACGATTGGTCTTTGTGTGTTTGTTTTACTCGTCTTACTGTTTGGTTCCTCCTCTGTATCTCTAAATCTCTATGTGTTTCGTTTCCTTTTATCTTTTTGGGCGTAGTTGTTTTTTGAATATGTTTGAGATACAAGTATCGAGTCAAAGTAGCTAGTTACGAATGTAACTTGCATAGCATGTTGCAATACAAAATAGCTGTTTCGAAGGCCTTTGCTGCATTTTTCTAGCTCCGTTTCACAAGCGTAGCTGGAAAATGTTCCACTGCACGTTGCGAGACCTGGTCCTCTACCTGCACAAGGACGAGAACGGCTTCAGGAAAAACCAGATGAGCGACAACCTGCACAACGCGATCCGGATACATCACGCCCTCGCCACGAAGGCTACCGACTACACGAAGAAGCAGTACGTTTTCCGGCTTCAAACCGCCGACCAAGCCGAGTATCTGTTTCAAACCAGGTATAACTAATATAAGAATTATTATTTAGAACGGCAATTTAATTTACTTTATTTGTAGCGATTTGAAGGAACTGCAGTCGTGGATCGACACGATAAACTTTGTGTGCGCCAGCTTCTCGGCGCCACCACTGGAGGCGGCGGTAGGATCTCAGAAGAAATTCCAAAGGCCTTTACTACCATGTAGTCACACGAAATTTAATTTAGTAAGCTATTATTAATTGATGCGCGAGTCGACGTCTCTTTATTGAAATATCGTTTGCAGCGCGAACAGTTATTAGATCATGAAGAGAGAGTTACTAGACTGGAACGGGATTTAATGGAGCATCAGCAAATGCCTCCGGAGCGAGGGTCCAAGTCCTTGGTAATACAGAATTACAAAGAGCGGGAGGCGTACTTGAGCTACGAGGTAACTATCAACGATTTCCTTTCATGTTTCTCTTCTTTTAACACACGTTCGGTCTCAGTTGAAGAGGTACAAGACGTACGCTTACATTCTGCGATCTCGGATGGCACCGCAATACCAGGAGCTGGGCGTGAGCCTCGTGGAGACCGCCATCGGCGAATTGGACGAGGCGACGGGCGGAGCCGTGACTTATTTGGATGGGGGCGGTACCGTGGTGGCTCCGCCCATACCCGACCGCCCCTCGCCGCAGACAAATAGGTACAGTTACAGACAAGCCATCTACAGCAGACACATGATCAACGGTGATGCTGATATAGGCTGACGCGTCATGGGGTTGTTCTCGGCATGTGTGCTTTGACATGAAAAACTTAAAAAAAAACAAACAAAAACAAATGGGGCTGTTAACTACCAATTTTATTATTACTCTATTTCTCTCGTTTTTTTATAAAAAAAAAACAACATAAAAATACGACAAAACAAGAACTCTTCTCCTCCACCGGCAACCCCAGAAACACCACCCCTCCGGACGTGTCCATCTTCTACTTCGGGCGTAGTTTGTTCGAATTGATATTGAAAATATCGTCTTAGTCAAAAAATAAAGAGAAAACATACAAATATTCGTAGGTCAATTAAAAAGTCTTTTCAAATTTTACAATTTAGTCTGTAAGTGAAACGAACGAGCCCCAATTAGCAAACGAATTCTGAACATGGACACGTCACTCTGCTTAGATATTTCGCATTTACTTTCTTACTCTTTATTTCCCATCTCCGGGGGCTTTATATATAATATATACATCTTTCACTCTGTCCCTAATTGGTACGCCTTTAATTATCTTCTATCTAGCTAGCGATCTAATCTATCTAACAAATCGAAGTTGTTTTGATTGTTTTGTTTTGTTTTTTGTTTGTTTTGGAATTTACGAACATACAAAAAAAAAGCATTTGCGCTTTGACCGTTTCGTTCTTTTTTATTATATTTCTCTAATTGTCTTAATACAGCTTACAAATTAACTTAACTCTCACCCCAAATACTTCCCTCTCAGCCCCTCTTTCGACCAAAACAACACGAGAAAAAAAAATCATTTATTTATAAGTTCTTTTCGCTTGTGTACATTTACAAATTTTCTTTTCCGATTTGTTTCCCTTCTCTTCAATTCACCAACGAGGTTTGAGGAAGAATTAAAAAAGCAAAACAAAAGCAACACGATATTTTGAGGAAATGCAAAGATTATATATACATACATAGATATATTTTTTATACCTTATACAAAGCAAATATTGTTGTGTATTTTAATTTATTCGTTTTTTTTCTTTTTGTTTATAAAGATATATATATATATATATATAATTTTATTAATTTTTCACATATTATTTTCTGTTTTTGTTTGTTTGATGATTTTTTGGGCCGTAGCCAACATGTGAATTATACTAATAGGAAAGAGTAGTAGATGGTCGGAGAGTAACGGTAGAGTCGAATTTTAATATCTTTCTCTTCGCACACGTAGAGTCTAAAATCCAAGTAAACAAGAAAAAATACTACTACTACTAATACCAATTGCGATGAGGAAATTTAGTTAGGAACTTATGAAATATCGTTAGATTGTGTGCGATCTAAATGCAAACACGAAGATGAAGAAGAAAAAACTAATTATTATGTATCTATATAAGAGGTTGTTGTTTATTTCTTAATTTTTTTGGTGTTCATTTCCCATGTTGTACACGTTCCGTTCGCATTTCAACTCCTTGAATTAGAGCGAAACTTTAATGATTAACGCATTTAATTGGATTAATGACTAATTAAGTAATTTAGAGTGAAGTTGATCCCTAATCCATCGGTTAACGATAATATATCGAGTACACTTTATTTATATACTTATTTTTTCTTTTGTAAAGTAATGTGAGGAAGCGTGCACCCATTTCTGAATCTTAAAGATATCTGAAATCATAGTTACTTAATTGATTCATTTATGTTTACATTATTCGTAAGCAAGAAATTGATGATAGGAAATGTGTGCACGTTTTCGTTTTAGCATTAGCAACAAATTGAACATAATCAAAAGATATTGAATATATATAACTATAAAAAAAAGACAAAGAGAATAATATAAATAATAAAGTTTGAGAGCCTTTGTTGAAAGGTTTTAAGAATTAAAACAAGAAAACTATTAACTGTATCGATTTTTGTCCGTCTCGGATTTGCCTAGGTCGTAAAGATTTCAATTATGATTTTCCGTTGAGTGTATCCTCGTTTTTAGCTTTGGATTAGCGTCGGTTCCTTTCTTAATTTTAGTGCTTAGCGATCGAACAAACAAACAAATAAGAGGGAAAAAATAATAATATACGAGTATTTTGTTATATAGTAGTTAGGGTATTATAATTGTACATAATTACTGAGATGCAGCAGCTTATTAAAATATAAATATATATATTTAAAAAGTCTATAGATTTCTCGATATTGAAAAGTTGAGTTTTCTTGATAGAATCGCAATCATTCAATTATGAATTGAACGCGTAACACTTCGTCCTTCCATAATTTCATTTTATAATTAAAAACTTCCAAACGAAGCGATTCCATCAAGTAAATTCCACTTGACATTGCCAATTAATTAATTAATAATAGAATAATATAATCAAATATGTAAATCTCTGAGATTATGAATTTCTTAAGTAGAATGAAAATCACATCTACATATTATTATTTTTTATGAAATCTAAGCTGCTGCACCTTTCTTTCCAAAATTCTTGTTTTTGTTTTGTAACTTTTCTTGTACATAAGTTGTAAAGGTTTCTATTGTGCTATTGTTGTCAGAACTTTTCCTTTTATTTATTTTTTATTTTTTTGTGGTGCGTCGATCTGTTCGTTTTGTTTTCTTTTGGCAGGAGAAAAGGAAACCCGTATATATTTTGCATAGTTTAGGGGCTGTGAAATAACTTGAATAACGATGAGTACATTTTTATTGAACCCGGCGATTTCGACGATCGGAGAAAAAAATTCCTTCTTCTCTTTTGAGCGAGAAAGAAATAAACTACTTTTCGATCGCGAAAAAATCCGCCCTGTAGAAACCAAAACCCTCCCCCCCTCCAAACCCTTTTTGTATATATACAAATATAGTATTTTAAACGAAGACGAGTCCTTTATTGTGCTGTTTTTTCTCTCTATAATTTCGAGCAAAATCTAGAGTGTATAGTTTTGAAAACCCTCCCAAAAACCCTCTTCTGAATTCGGAACTAAATTGAATCCTTGAACTATCTCTTAACATACATACTAAATACATACATATAATATATATATATACATATGAATAGAATAATAAATTTTATTGAAAAAAATGACGATGATACGATCTCATTCATTTTACTCTTTCTAGGTGTATTGTGCACATAAAATATTTTCCAAAATACGAGTCTCCTATACCCACAAGGTGCGTTCCACATACAACACACTCTTTCTTTCTCATTATATTAATTATTCTTTTAATAATCGCTAGTCTAATTCTATTTTATTTATTTACCTTTTCTTTCGTTTAATTAATCGATTAATTTTTATTATATTTTTTTTTTGTTTCCTTTTATTTATCTCAACGCAATCACGACAAGAAAATTAACAATTAACAAAGATACCCGCTTCTCAATTACCAACAATAACCGATATATGTGTTTTTTTTTCTTCAATTTTTTTCATTTCTCGTTTTTTTTTTGTTGGGCACTGAAAATTAACTATTATTATTATTATTATTACCATTATTTATGTCTATATATACATATACGAACAACAAACAATCCTTGTGTGACTTTTCTTAACACCTCCACTCTGTGTCTTCACGATCCTCTCCAGTCCGAAACTTACAACACTTATAAATATTTCTTTTCATTTGGATCGAGCAACTTGTGTGCGTGTCTTGTTCTTCTTTATGTTTTTTTTTTGTTTCATTTTTATTTGAGGTAAACGTACTTAATCTCTATTTACTAACTGAGTAGTCTTTGAACTTATTGTTGGTAGCTTCAGCTTGTCTCTATTAATTAACTTCACCTTTATGGCCTGCAGCTTTTGGAACGCTTCTTTTTCTGTAAAAAAAAAACTAATCTTTCACATACAATTTTTGTTTATATATATATATATACATATACTTCTCTGGATATTTTCAAAAAATGTTAATCGATTATTTTGTTTGTTTGATTTGCATGTCCTTAGGAAAATGGTGGATTAAGCAGCTGGCGAACAAAAAATTTGATTTGATCATATAGACGTGAGGCGTGAAAAATAGGAAAGAAAGAAAGAAAAAGAAAAAAGAAAGAAACGAATATATAATATATATATAGAAGGGCGTTTATATATTTACAATTTATTTACTAATTGTGCAATAAATCTCTCCGGTGGGCGGGCACAGTTTAACTGAGTAATTCCAAGAAGAAGTTTTAATTCGCATAAGTACCAAAGAGAAATTTATTTATATGAGATATAAAGTGAAGAGAAAAAAAGGCAGAAGAAAAGCAGAAGAAAATACAAACTATATATTTTGTAGAGAATGAAAGTGAGAGAGAGAGAGAGAGTGAGCAAAACGATGGGATTCTTTTTTTTTTGTTATTATTTACTTAATACTGTTTTACTTTTCGTTCCTTCGAGGAAAATTAATGAAAGGATGGAAATCATGATGGAACCACATGATGATGATGATCATGATGATAATACACGATGATGATTCGTTGCGCTTCAATTGCATTTTTTTTTTAATTATTATTATTTTATTTTTTAAACTTATTATTATTATTTTTTTGTATACATCCGCTTTATGTATTATTTTTAAGCAGAATATATTATTATTATTATACAACTGGATCTTTATTTCAATTGTTTTGTGTTTATTTTTGTTTTTGTTTTATTTAATATTGAATCTAGTATGCAAGTATTTTATTCACGAGATCTTCGATCTTGTAAAAAGGATTTATTTATTGAAAAAAACAAAAGAAGGTACGTGTATGATATTTTTTAAATTAAACGTTGCATAGTTACATATAATTATATAAATATAAAATACGTTTATATATATATATATACGGTATATCAATAACGAAGAGAGTTTTATTGTGGATACGAAGTTTCTATTTTAAGATGTGAATATTATTAGAAAATGTGTCAATTTCATTTCTATAACTAATTTGGATCTTTGATATAGTAATAATAATAAATTGTTCAACATTTCATTCAAAGATTTATCTTTCTTTATAAGATTTATTAATAACAATTCGATACATAATACATATAATTATGTTATTATATTAAATTTTAAGGTAAGTAAATATTATTGATGTAATTCATTTTTGTTGTCAGTTTTTATTTACAATCTATTTTACTGAACATTTATCAAATCTGTTCGCTGTTGATATTAGGAAGTTGCTTTAAGTATTCTTTACTTAAATCTATATTGGAGATCCAAGGGCTTGAAACGCTTTAATCTTCTCGTTCTCACGTCGTTATCGAGAAGGTTGACCGCCAACGGGTTCGTATGGGAATCAAGCCTGTTCGCTTATTTTTTGGAGAAATCTTTGGCAACCTATTCCATTGTTTTTATTCCAAAGTCCTGGTGCAGTTTCTTATTGGTGATGTACCACGGTACACCTTTAAATGTTCTAATACATTTAGATTGGAATACTTAGATTTTTTTTAATATTAGTTGAGCTGTTCCCCATAATTGGATAAGCTATGTCCAAACTGGTTTTAATATGACTTTGTACACTAGCAATTTGTTCTCCAAAGTCAACTAGAAATGGTCCTTCCAAGTCAGTCTCGTCTTCAGCTGTATTACCAAGTATCTCATCCTTGAAGATGCTGAAACTACTTTGTTGTTGAGTTTAACTGGTTTATACTAATTCGCCATTTCCTGAACCATATCTCAAGCAGATAGAGCTCTTCTTGAAGGTGTTGAGATGCAACTATGAGACTTTCTTCTAATGCCATCATTGCTGTTTCATCTGCAAATGTTTGTTTTCTCTGTTGTTTTATATCTGCAGTGTATAATAGATATAAAATTGGTTCCAAGACACTACCTTGTGGAACGCCCGATTCAATGGGACTCAGCGCACTTTGTGCTTCCTCCAGTTTGATCAAATTTCGATCATTTAGGTAGGATTTCAACACTTCGTAGAAATTACGTGGAGGTTGCATGTAGAGTAAACCTGTATGCCAAACTTTATTGAAAGCCTGTGACACATCAAGGAATACAGCTATGAACAGTATCTTTTCTCTTCCAGATCTTGGCATCAACTATTCGATTAACTTGTTCTAACGTAATGTCTTGTCTGCGAAAGTAATTCATTTTGAAGTATAATTTGAAACTTAACTATTGTTTGTCCTAATCTCTTCGAAAATAAGATTATTGTATACTAAACAAAATTTATTTTGATTTTTAGGACACTTCAAAATGTTGTATAATTTAAGTTATCGAAATTATACAATCTTTGTACAAAGTCTGTTCTTAAAAATAGATAATTCTATCAGCTTTTGAGATATGAGGGCATAATCCTGATTGAATACTAAAGAACACAAAGTTAACATCTTCTGGATTATAAGATTAATTAACTATTATCAACACAAAATATGTTAATTATGTTCTTTGTATTGTTGGTTTCATTGTATAGCTTGTATTAATACTTTAGCTTAGGTATAATTTGAATTGATAACAGTGCTGATTATGTAACATAAACCGCGCAGATTTGAATATATTTTGCAATGTTGGCAGCAATTTGGCGAGTAAACTTCAAATCCGGTATAAACAAAACAAATTATCCTAACCTAAAGGGTTGAGTTATCATATTTTTTTGCAATTTTACAATTTTTATCATATTTTTAACAATTTTTAATAATGAGCAATGGTTTCTTCAACGAGACGTTCGATTTCACCATCACCTCAAGCGGCCAAGTGGTCCAAAACATCAATCAAGCAGAGACTTCTTCATCTGAAGATTTCAACATAACAATAGATGATTCCAAGTTCCTCAGTGAGTCTTTCTCATTTACTACAACAAATGAATCTGTTAACAAACCAGACAAGACTGTCAGCAATCAAGTGAGTACAGCTGCATTAACATTGAGTTGATTTTAAACTTAATTATTTGCAGGCACAGAATCAATTTGTAACTCCAGTTAATAACAAGGAGAATCACAAGCCTTTTGTGCAATTGAATGTAACTGTTAACAAATCTCACAGTAAAGCTAAAGCAGATGATTCTCCAAAAGTGTCAATTAAACAGGATATAAGTTTGGATTCCAGTTATGAGAACACACCTAAGAAGCCTAGTAATTTTATGAAGAGGAAATCTTTGAGGGAAAACAAATTGGCTGATAAATCCTTGAATAGAAGTGTTTTGGTGAAGGCTGCTCAAAGTAATGGATTATTGGCTGACAGCAGTAAACTTTCCAGTTGGGGATTGCCAGAGGTTATTTTACAGAAATATGAGAGTAGAAATGTAAAGAATATGTTTCCCTGGCAAGTGGAGTGTTTGAGTTTACCAGATGTCTTGGATAAGCACAAGAACTTGGTATATTCTGCACCAACATCAGCTGGGAAGACTTTGGTTGCTGAGATATTGGCAATTAAAACAGTGCTTGAAAGGAATAAAAAGGTTCTGTTCATATTACCTTTTGTGTCTGTTGTCAGAGAGAAGATGTTCTATTTTCAAGATATTTTAGGACCTAGTGGGATTAGAGTTGAAGGCTTCATGGGTTCCTACAATCCTCCTGGTGGATTTAAACCAGTGCAACTTGCTATCTGCACAATGGAAAAAGCCAACAGTTTGATCAACAGGTTTTTGGAAGAAGGCAGTTTGGAGGCAATTGGAGCGGTTGTTGTCGATGAAATGCATTTGTTAGGTGATCCGAATAGAGGATATTTACTGGAACTGCTATTGACGAAACTGCGATACATGTCTTTGCGAGATGAAAACGTCAATATACAGATCATCGGAATGTCTGCGACTCTACCGAATCTCTCTTTATTAGCATCTTGGTTGGATGCGGAACTATACACTACGCAGTTCAGGCCTATTCCTTTAGTCGAGCAGTGTCACGTCAATGGGGAAATCTATGGAAACGATTTAAAGTTGATCAGAAAACTGGAGAAGATCCCTGAACTTACCACAGATACGGATAATATTCTTCAATTATGTTTGGAAACGATACTCACGTCTTGTTCGGTCTTGATTTTTTGCCCGTCAAAGTCTTGGTGCGAAAGCCTTTCGCAGCAAATCGCAATGGCCTTCTGGAAATTGGGTTGTTCGAAGTCCGAACTCGGCAATAAGTTGCGAGAACAGTTAAATGCAGATTTGATAATAGAATGTTTGGAGCAACTGAAGAGATGTCCTGTTGGTTTGGACGAGCTCTTGGGAAAAGCCGTCAGTTTCGGAGTGGCTTTTCACCACGCCGGTTTAACTATGGATGAGAGAGATATAGTCGAGGGAGCGTTTCGAATCGGATGTGTAAGAGTTTTAATTGCAACATCGACGTTATCTGCAGGTGTTAATTTACCGGCGCGAAGAGTTATTGTCAGATCACCGATGTTCTTCGGCAAACCAATAGACACGTTGGTTTACAGGCAAATGATTGGAAGGGCTGGTAGAATGGGCAAAGATGTGGCAGGAGAGAGTATTTTGATTTGCCAAAACAACGATCAAAAAGTTGCTAAAGAATTGATGTCTTCAAATTTGCAGCCAATCGAGAGCTGCTTAGAGGGTGCCGGTAAATTGAAGAGAGCTATACTCGAAGTTATCGCGAGCGACGTGGCTTCCTCTCCATCGGATATAACTTTATTCACAAAATGTACCTTGCTAGCCTCTGATCACAACAACAAAGTCGAAATTAACAACCCGATCGATGATTCTGTGGACTTTTTAATAGACAACCAATTTATCAAGTTACAAAACCTTGAAGATGGAACCTCCAAGTACGTAGCGACTCCGTTAGCTAAAGCATGCTTGAGTTCTTCGATGCCTCCCGAAGAGGGTTTAGCATTGTTCACCGAGCTGGAAAAGGCCCGACAATGTTTCGTTCTCGAAACGGAATTGCATCTGATTTACTTGGTGACACCGTACTCGGCCTGCAATCAAATAGGTAACCTGGACTGGATGGCTTACCTCGATCTTTGGGAAAAACTTCCTGCAAGCATGAAACGCGTAGGAGAATTGGTCGGCGTGAGAGTCTCTTATTTGATCAACGGAACCAGAGGTAAAATCCAAACCAACACCTCGAAATTATACGAGAAGCTCTTGGTGCATAAACGCTTCTACACGGCGTTGATTCTGCAAGATTTAGTAAACGAAGTACCATTGAATAACGTGGCTGCAACGTACAATTGCAACAGAGGCATGCTGCAATCACTGCAACAGTCAGCAGCATCTTTCGCAGGAATGGTAACATCCTTCAGCAAGCAGTTGGGTTGGAGTAGCGTTGAGATCTTGATCGAACAGTTTCAAGATCGATTGCAGTTTGGAATCAGCAGAGATCTGTTGGATCTGATGAAATTGCCTGTACTTAATGGGCAAAGGGCGCGCACTCTTTACAATGCCGGAGTTGAAACGCTGGTTGATTTGGCGTCTTGCGAAATTGATAAATTGGAATCAATTTTATACAAGAGCGCTCCATTCGAAAGCGAAAAAGAAAGAGATGGAGAGAGCGAGTTGGATGCTAAAAAACGAAATAAAGTAAGAGCGATTTGGGTTACCGGGAAGCAAGGTTTAACCGAGAGGGAAGCGGCTTTGATGTTGATTAACGATGCTAGAACTTATTTACAACTCGAACTGGGTTTAAAAGAAGCTAAGTGGACTCAGACTCAAGAAGAAGCACCAGTTAGGAAATCGCAAAGTCCCAAAGAAGTCTCAGTACTTCTGGACATATCGCAACAGTCTCTAGAACTAAGCTTAGCCAAATCTAACGTGAAAAACAATATTTGTCTTGAGTCTATAACTAATACAGAAGCTAGCGTTAGTATGTTAGAAGATAAAATATTGGAGAATTTGGAAGAGAAATGCAAGGATATTGAAGCATCGATGCTCGAAGAAAATTTTTCTCCCAACGAAGATACTCGCTTAGATGAAAATATTTCTTCATCGATGGAATCAATAAATGTATCAATTTCCTTAACACCCTCTGCGAATCGCACCAACTTGAGACAATCTACGAAATCCAATGATAGTCTCTTCGGCGACAGCTTCTCCGTTGATTCTAAAGTGTTTGATGATCTAGAAACTCCAATTCAAAACATCGCAAAAGAAGATTCTTTGAAAAAATTGAATATCCCCGTCAATCCGAGAAAACGTGAAAGGGTCAGTACTCATTCCATGAACAGTGAAGAAGAAATATTTTACTCTGAAGCAACTCCGATAAAGAAATCAAAATATTTGCAGATGAAGGACAACGAATGCGTCGATGCATCATACGTAATATCAGAAGAGAAGAGCGAAATTTCTATACGAGATGATGAAGAATCTCAGATTGATTTAACAAAACTAGAAATCATCAACGTGAGCGATCATTCACAATTATTGGAAACTTTTAAGAACGAGATCACTGGAAAAAGTGAAATCTCTATTGCAATAGCCTGTGAAAAAATCACTGAAGTAAAACCAGTCATTGGGCCTAAAATAATTCCAAACGATTTGCAAATTGAAGAGAAAACTACTTGCGTTTATAAAGGGCGGCAGGTTGTGGGCTTCAGCGTTTGCTGGGGTGAAAACATTGCGTTTTATTTGCAAGTTACAGAAAAGAACTGTGAGGCTCTTGAGATTTTGAAAGCTGTTCTTGCCAATAAGGATTTGACTGTAAAAGTATATGATTGCAAAGAACATATTAAAGTGTTGAAGCGTTGTTGCGGTGTGGATTTTGAAACTAGATGTTTGGATCCTAAAGTGGCGGATTGGTTATTGGAACCTGAGGAGAAAGAGAAGAATTTGCAAGCTTTGGTTTTGAATTATTCGCCGGAAGCAGTGAAACTGTGTCAGATGGCCGGAAACAGCAAGGGGAGCGGAAGTGTTTCGCTGGATTTGCAGAACGGCATCAAACCAAAAGTGCGATGCTGCATTGAAGCTGTCGTTTGTTTCCATTTGGTGGATGCGATGAAATCGGTGTTGGCGCAAAACAATTCAAATCTTTTACACACGTTCGGTAATTATAACTAATAAATTCATCAGATCATCTCTTAATTATTATTACTTTTAGGCATTGAAATGGATTGCATGGTGATCTTGGCGAGGATGGAACTGAGTGGCTTCGGAGTGGATTTAAGCAAGATGCAGATTTTATCGGAAAAGCTTAAGGAATATTGCACGGCCTTGGAGACGAAAGCTCACCAATTGGCGGGGAAGAGATTTTCGTTGACGTCTTCAACGGAAGTTGCAAAAGTTATTGGTTTGTACAAAGGTAAAAGGGTGAGAACGAACAAGCAAGTCTTGGAGCAGAACAACCATCCGATTTCCAATTTGATTATCCAATGGAGGAAATTGAACAGCACTTTAACTAAGATGATTTATCCGCTGCTTCGGATGGTCGAGAATAATAGAGTTTATGGATGCTGCATAACGCGCAATGCGACAGGTAGGGTTTCGATGCACGAACCGAATCTGCAAAACATGCCTAGGAATTTTGAATACACCAATCCTCTGAACAATGAAATCGTGAACGTGAGTTGTCGAGGAGTGTTCGTGGCACAAGAAAAGAACATCCTGTTAGCAGCGGACTATTGCCAATTGGAATTGAGATTATTAGCTCATTTTTCGCAGGATAAACTGCTCGTTACAAGCATGAAAAAAAGTGATGACGTTTTTAAATCGATTGCTGCTCAATGGAATAATATGTTAGAAAGCGAAGTAAATATTATACAACAAAAGTTGAACTAGATTAATTTAGTTCAATTCTAAAAAAAAATCTAATGAATTAATTTCATTTACTACTTGTGTCTTTTAGGTGACTGATTCAATTAGACAACAAACCAAACAGATTTGTTACGGCGTTATATATGGTATGGGCACTAAGACTTTAGCTGATCAAATGTGCGTAACCGAAGATGATGCTGTAGCTTTCATTGCAACATTCCATAAGACTTATCCTGGAATCAAGAAATACGTGGAACAAATAGTAGATAATTGCCGTAACAATGGTTACGTGCAATCTATAGGCGGAAGGAAACGATTCTTGCCGAATATAAAGCACCAAAATGCATCTACTAAAAGTAATCAACAATATTCTAGTATAACAAATATATTAATGATTACTATTTTATCAGGTCAAGCTGAACGTCAAGCTTTCAACACAACAATTCAAGCAACAGCTGCAGATATTGTAAAGAACGCTATGGTCCTTGTGGAGAATCAAATCCATGTGAAGTTCAAGTCTTCGCGCAACAAACCAAAACTAATTCTACAAATCCACGATGAAATCCTCTACGAGGTCCCCAAGAAATACTTGATTTGCTTAGGTAGGATAGTGCAGAAATGCATGGAAGATTCAGTTAAATTATCCGTGCCTTTTCCCATTAAACTAAAGTCGGGAAAATCGTGGGGCGAGATGAAAGACCTCGTCGTCTAAAAATCAACTCGACAAGAAACAAACTGTGATATCTCTTTTTATTATTATTATTATCTTTACTCAATTCAACGTTATAAAATTAAAATACCTTTCTACAATAAACTGTTCAATTATCTTGTGTGTCTTCGTCATCATCCACTATTTCTTGGACCTCCTGCTCCTGCACCTTGTCTTCTGATTCATCGTCGTTGGTCTGCTCAGTTTGTTCGTCTTCAACTTCATTAATTTCTTCAACGCTACCGCTGTCCTCTTGATTATCTGCAGCAGGCTCGTCATTTATCTCGACTGTTTCCATCATATCATCAGGTGCTACTTCACCGTTAATGATTTGGGAATTTTGATGTTCTCTGATTTCCTCTTGCAAGTCTCCATATTTTGTCTGCAAACCTTTCTCCCGCTCCATCTGCCTATTTACGTCTTCATTTAACGACTGAAAAATGGATTTTCAAATAAAAATGTTTTACTAATCGAAAATTATTTGTTTATTACCTGAATTCTTCTCGGAAGTGCGGCCTTCTCTTGCTCCTGCAAGAACTGGAATGTATTTAGTTCCAATTGCGATTGATCCACTTGATCGTATAAATCGGTCAATTGTTTGATCAAGGCTTGAGCTCTGGATTGATATCCTCCTGTCAAAATGCGAAGCTTCTTCTCCATCTTCGCCGCCCTTTTAGCCTCGCGTGACATATGATTTCTGTTCTGCTCCAATCGTTTTTCCGCCGACTCCAGACGATCCTTTTTACTCGCCAAATTCGCCCTAGTGTACCTATTCTGATTGGGCAAGAATAGTACTTGGCTTAAGCACTCCTCCCAGACTTGCGTGTAAGATTCGATAGACAAATCCCCATGATTCATACCTTGCCTTACGATTTCCATTTCTTTGTTTAAAGAACCGCGCGCTTCATCAAGTTCCTCTTTAGTAATATCTTCGTATGAGTATTGCTCTAAATACGCCAATTGCTGCGCTTGAGAAACAGTTTGCCTTTTACCTTGAATTGGAGCTATGGGATTTTTCAAATTGTCATATGTCAACATAGTAACCATCTCTCTTTTAATTAACTCTTCTGCTTTTTGCAGTTCCGTCAAAGAATGCGACTCGTGCGCTGGTCTTAGAACGGACAAGTTCACGTCTTGCGGTCTTGGGAAATCCCTCTGAATAACATGCGATCTTAAAGCTAATTCTTTAGCTAGTTTTATTCTCATCTCTTCTTGGAGTCGCGCATCTACGTCCGCCTGATCTTCCACCGACAATTCCTTGACAGTCTCCGCAACTTCTTCTTCATGCTCCGGTACTACAATTTCATAATCGTTCTTAGGTTCCGGTAAAGTGCTCAATCCTGCTCTCAATTGATCTTTGCGTGACTGTTGGAACGACAGTTGAGCAGCTGGAGTTTCGCCTATGTCTATGGCATCTTCTGGGTTGATATTTAACTTATCTCTTATTGGTGTTGGAGTGTAACTACCAGAAGGACCTACCGGAACTACAGCACCACTTTTAGGTGTCATGAAACCAACAGTGCTGGGTGTATTCCCACCGTCGCTTCTAGTACTTCTAAATGGAGTTGCTAAAACTGTGTTAGGTGTGGCTAGGTTCTGGCTTTGCGGTATTACAGAGCTGAAATCTGAATTGTGTAAAGGCGTGTTAACTCCTCCCTTCAAAGGAGTGTCTACGTGAGTCAAAGCCATCATATTTTGGGCTTCCTGCATGATACGATCAGTTTGTGGAGCAGGTGTCCTAGGTGTAGCTGCAACTTCCGGCGTAATAGTGTAATCGTTCAACAACGTATCCGTCGTAGCCTCTCCGCTTTCCAACGCAACTTCGCGTGCCACTTCACTAGCTCTGCCCAATTTCACGACCTGCTGTAACTCTTGATCAGAAATCTGAGGTTCCGGCAAAACCAACTTGGACCTTTTCTTAGCCGGCTCCTCATTTTGCAACATTGCCAGTGGGATATCATTTTCCTTCTTCTCCTTCAACTTTTGTTTATCATTTCTTCTTTCCCGCTAAAACAGGAAGAAAATATTTAGTAGAGGAAACACATCGTATATTTTATTAATTACTTCTTCAATTTCGCTTCTTGTTTCTCCATCCAAATTCTGTTGTCTCATCTTCAGGAAATCTGGTGCCATTGGATCAACTACTTCTTTTGAAGTATCATAGAAACCAATAGCTGGCAACTTCTCGAACGGTATTTCAGCATTATAATCAACGCCTCGTTTCTTTTTCTTGCGCGGATTGACTTCGATACCCGCAGCGCGAAGTTCGCGCCTCTTCTGCAACGCAGCCAATCGCCGGGCTTCTTCCAATTGCTTTTCACGTGCCTTACGTTTAGCCTTTTTACCCTGTGTATTAGCTAACCTGGCTCTTGCTTCAGACAACATTTCCAACTCTAAAAAATAATTAAACATATTAATTTTCAGTTCATATTGTTCATCAAGCTATATACCATCTTCATCCATATCTTTTGGATCTGGCCTGGCTGGTTTAGTTTCTGGATTTGGATCAATTTCACCAGGTTTGAGTTTTCTTGGATCATCAGAAACATCTTCACCATCCTCCTTCTTTTGAGCTTGATCACTATGTAAACCATACAATTAATATATTGTACAATTCACTCAGATTTAAGTTCTTACAGTAAATATTCATATCTTTCCAAGCACTGTGCTGCTGTTCTTCCAATGATTGGAGCAATAGTTCTCCATTGGGTGGGCATGAGCTTAGCAAGATGCAGCAACTTCTCTTCCTCTTCTCTAGACCATTCTGTCTTCTTGATGCTTGGATCCAGCCACTCAAACCAACGAGCCTTGCATTGTTTTGCTGATTTCCTGTGAAGCAGAGAGGCAATTCGGGACCACTGGTTTTTGCCATATTTCATAACAGCCGCCTTCAGAATTTCATCCTAAAACAAAAATAATGTCATCTAACCTACAAAAAAACAAACTATCCTTGCTTCTGTTTAATAATTACCTCCGTGTTCCTCCACACACCTCCCTTTATCATAATCCGCGGCATTTTTGCGCTGAATTCTTTTCTCTTTGATAAACACAACTATTGAACACTTTTACGTTATTTATTTCTATTTATTAATTAACAAACAAACTGAAACAAACGTTTACTGAATCCGTTTTTAGGTTCTGTCAAAAATTCTGTATACGAATGCGCATGAACTCGTTTAAATTTTTTTTAAATAATATTATTTCATATAAGAATTTAATGATTAATTTTAATAATATTACTTACAATAAATAGTTTAAGTAATTTACTTAAATTATTTAGAAAAAAAGTAAAGTTAAACTTTTTTTTTGAAATTTGGTAGTGATGCAACTTGAAGTTCTTTGTTCGTTCAAAAAAGCATGACCAACTTCAATGCACTTATTGAATTTTCTAAAAATGTTCCTTATCATTAACTTAATTCGTGTTGAAATTGCAGTGGAAATGCTAGTTAGCGATCTTCTAAAGATTGTATCTAAAATAGATTCCTGTATTTTTTGTGCAAATTCATGTCCTTCTACTGACATCCAATGTCATCATAGTGGTAATACATCAACTTAATGATAAGCGATTTTATTTTTGTTGCAATAGTAACATACATCTTTCGTGCCTGAAAAAGCATCTGGTAGATTCTAGTTCTTATAGAAACGATGACTACTTACGCGCTCAAAGTAAAAATGAAGACTGGTCAGCAAATTGTGAAAACATTGACTTCAGAGAGTACAATCAAGGAACTGAAGACTTTGCTCTCAAAACTCTCAAATATACCTCAAGATCGCCTAAACGTCTTATCCGGATTCCCTCCAAGGATTCTGGATTTGAATCATGAATCAAACCATTTGTGTTCCAGTGGGATTTTCTCTGGAGACACACTCATCTTGGAAGAAAAGGCTGTAGCAACAGTACCAGTAACACCACCACCACTGAAGCCAAGACCTACTGCTACTATTGTATCTAATGAGGATACTGCCTCCTATGATTGTCCAGGTATTCTGATGAAACATGTTGTGCCAGCTGATAACTCATGCCTCTTCACCAGCATACATTTTGTGTTGAATGGAAAAGTTGATGATACAGGATCAGTGGCACCTTGGATGAGAACTCTGATTGCAGAGACTGTATCCAAGGATCATGAGAAATATTCAGAAGCAATCTTAGGCAAACCGAACGCTGACTATTGTAAGTGGATTCAGGATGATAATACTTGGGGTGGTGCCATTGAAATCTCCATCCTTTCTAGTTACTATGGAATAGAAATAGCTGTTGTTGATACTATAAATGCTATTATTAATAGGTTTGGAGAAGACCAAGATTATGGTACTAGAGTATTTTTGCTATTTGATGGCATCCATTATGATCCTCTCTACTTAGAACCAATTGATGTAAGTTATACAAAGAAACTGTTTATTATATATGTTACTTGATTAAATCTTAATATGTTTTAGGGTGGAAACATGCAAACAATATTTCCAACAGAGGATGAAACCATATTCAGGGAGGCTGAGCAGTTGGCTGTGGAGGCGAAATCAAGCAGGCAATACACGGACGTGAATAAGTTCACGTTGAAATGCATCGTCTGCGATATGAAGCTCAGCGGACAAGTGCAAGCTCAGCAACATGCGAAAAGCACTGGTCACACCAGTTTCGGAGAAATCTAAGCTATAAGAATCCACTAATTCCCAATTTCAATAACAAAATACTGCACTCAATTTGTGTTCATTTACTGATTAATAACGATAGTGTATAAGACTATTGATATGCTGCGATTATATGTGCCTCAAACTTATATTATATATATTTAAAAAAGAAAGGAATAAAGTAATTAGCGTTTAGATTTCATAATTACAAATATTTCGTTTTATCGTAAGTAAACTTCCTAGAATTTACTGCGGTTGGTAGCATTGCTAAAGTACAAAAACCGATGTGAAGTTGTCGACCGTCATCCGTAGCTATGTTTGTTAGTCAAAATTGCCGCAGTTGTTTTGAAGTTGCGAAGGCGCGTGGTTGTCTGGTAGAGCTGTACGATTGAATTGCCCGCGATCATCCGCAGCGATGCTGAACCGGTAAAGTGTTGAGAGCACAAAGAAAAAAACACTGGACTCCAAATTCGAGGGTAGTGCTGTATTTCCAAGTGAAAATGTGTGATGTGGAACCCAGTGATACGAGAAGCTGAGATGGAGGTGTTGATCGAGGATGATGCCGATCTGAGGGAGCAAATTTTTCACAACAACGTTCGTGAGCAGATCGTGAGTATCTTCTTCGGGGAGGGCATTTAAACTTCCTCCTAGATGTTCTAGAACAAGGTTGATCGATAGGGTGCCAATGAACTTCCCCAAAACCAAACACTAAAAATGACCATTGATTTAAGCATTGGATGTGTTCCAGTTTGTTGTGTTCTTGCGCTTGGGGCGTCATTGAACTATGCAGCATGCAGAACTCTAATTTTAGATCGCATAATTAATTTGCGTACTTCGCACCGGCTCTTCATATTATTTATATTAATATTCTCGAGATTAATTGAAGACACAAAGAGACAGCTGTAGAGTTTATTTATAACATTAACCATATCAATATTATTGTTTTGAATTGCGATTATGTTGCAGTTCGATCATACACGAAAAAAAACCTTTTCGACCTTCGACTGCAATGTTCAAGCTACGTGTCTCTATTTCATTTGTTTCGACCGTTGCGCGACTGGATCAAAAAAACAATTGTAAACTTAATCTACATTATCTTCAATTACGAGACAGATGCTGGACAACTCTATAAATTGAATTACTAAAACAGAGGTTATTTTGGAACAAAAAATATTAAAATTAATTAATCTTTGAGTAAAGATTTGTACTATTAGATACATTATTTAAGTATTATATAAGTAAACTGTAATTTTATGTTATATTATACAAGGTTAAAATGTTCGATATTTTCAGAGAAGACTGTTATTTAATATTGCTATATTCTATACATTTAATGAATTGAACAAAGTGTATGCAATTTAGTAGATTTTTAACCTCTTTTCTTGGTGATGGAAGTTCTTTCACTCAATAATGATCAACAATAACGTTTCTAACATTACGTGGCTCAGTAACAAAGATTCTCAAAGGTCAAAGTGTGTTGATGGTAATGCTTACTGTGCTCCTTATTTGATATCATTGTACGAGGAGAAAATTTGCTGTTAGCATATACAAATTTACCTCTAAATTCCATTGATTTTCAATCGTTTATTATAATGTGACGTAAATGTTTCTAAATTGCAATTATAATAACAATCTTGATGCATTGTTCTGAGTTTGGTCAATGCAACATGAGTTTGTTCACGTACGACGAGACCGATTTTCAAAAGAAAGCATTTGGAACGTCGGCTCGCTTAGGAATTGGATTTCTTTAAAACGCTGATCCAATTATGTAAACAAGCCTGATAAAAGCGTCATAGAAAGGCTTCGTCCTTTCCAACGGTGAAAAAATATCAGATCCATTTGGATGCACTTAAGTTTGCACGTCTACCGTTCCAATTGATCCACTCACTTCGTTTACATAGACTTCACTACAACTTTTGTAATTATGTATATTGAAAATAGAAAAACATACATAAAATTTAATATAGGTTATAAAATCAATGATCATAAAACTTTATATAGTTTATTACTAGGTATATAATGATTAGATACGTAAAGCGGTTTTTACCGCGTATAGTTATGTTTAGGAAAATGGTTTAACCAAAGTAATCTGGTACAAAAGTTGGGGAAAACCTAACCGCATGGACACTTTCTTATACTTTGTATTCATCCAGGATGAAAAACTGCGGATGCGCTCCATGCAAAAGTCGACAATGGGAATAGCAACAAATACCCTAAAGTATTTAAAAAAGAAAGTAGAACGCGTGTGTTCGTCCGTACTTTTTTCTTCTTCGTCATTTTTCTCTCCTCCTCATTCCAACACGTGAACAGCGCGAAGCCAATAAACACCGTTAATGACATTCGTTTTGTGTAGTCTGAGGCATGCAACTTTTATCTCCAATTTCTAATATTCACACCTGCAGTGAATCCCACTTTGCAATCAAGGTATAAAAGCGAAAAGACTCTTTCACTATTCACACATTACAAAAAAATACTTTTAAAAAATTGTTATGTTCTTAGGATTTCCCGATGTTCACATTAAAACAGATTCTTTGAAGTCGGATAGTCTGGATTGAAAACGTTTTGCCGCTTATGTAAATCTGCAATTTAAAAAAGTAAATAAATAAAATTTGTGTTAAACACAAAGCAAACTGTTTGTGATTGAAGATCCTTGTTTATTTGCAGCTATAAAGAACGGCGCAGGCACAAAGATATTGTACAAAGCGAATTTGCATGGTTCGTGTTATCTAAATAGCGGGTATTTGGGACAGAGAGAGAACTGCTTTTATTAGTGGCACTCGATTTTATTTATTTACAAGGTTTCCGTGTCTACAAACAACTTCTGCGTATTTTCAGCCAATGCTTAGGAGCTGTTTATATCACATATTTCGAGCGTGACTGCACGGAACATCTCACTGCTACCACGTTTCCATCAAAATTGTTGCGATCCTTTCTCCTCTTTTTGCTGCTTGTTGTTGTTGTTTTTTTTAAAATATGTATGTAGTCCTGAGCTCGATGTAGTTTAAATAACTGTGAAATCGCATAACGGCGTTTATTTTTTCGCGGCCCAAGTATCTTCATATATTAGCGTGAGTCTAATTACTTTATGAGAGCCAATAAAAACATAGCGTATTTGAGCAAGGTCGTCAATTGACTGGGAACTCATTCGTGACGAGATCTTTCTTAATCATGCAAATTATTTCCGTATTCGATATTGTATTTTGTTGTCTATTTTATTGAGAGATATACTAGGACTATTAATAATTTGTTAGTCATGTGAAATTACATTTTAAATAAGTAATATGATTTGTTTGTAGGAAAGAAGAGGTTGAAAATATGAATACTACACACTAACGTTACTATTTGTAAGTGTTACAACCGTGTAATGTGATTTGGTGCATGTAATGTTTTGTGGATGTTACGTCGAAATCACTGGATAAACTAATGCACTTTACACGACAACAGTATCTTGTGTTTACACGCATCACAGCAGAAAATGCGATTCGTTTCCGACGACTTAATGCGTGTTCTACGGAATGAGTAAAGGATTCCTAGCGATGAGATTGAAATGCAATTATTTATGTTAGCGGGTCATGAGTTCTCCCATGTACAAAGTGTGTTGTTCTTGTATGATTTCGAAGAAGCATGCAATTACATCACGTACCCGATTTATTTGTAAACAGAATTCCATTTCAATACGATGCGTAAATCGTCAACAAAATACAGTGGAACCTCGCATAACGAGCATTTCGCTTTGCGAGCAAAATGAATCTTAGCGCCTGCTGCATCATATGTGTATGTTTGATTATGTTTCACTATACGAGTAAAAATTTTGGAACGGATTAAACTCGTTAAGCGAGGTTCCAATGTACATTTAATATTTATATTATAAATTTGCATCTCAATTACATAATCTCAATTTGGGTCAAATTAAATGAAACTGCGCGCTGGGAAAGGCTTTTAATTGAAATCAAAACGTCGATGCACAATGGCCATTGTATAGATAATGCTAATTTCCATCCCACGATGAGATAATTAAGTTCCGCTTTGTTTGAATGCACGGAACATGGGAATTCGAACATTCAATTTGCACCCAATGTCGATAAAAACTGCCCGAGGCTCGAAACCTGGTACACACAATTACCTTCAAGGATTTCCGTTCTTATCCAGTTCCAAGATTAGGTTTATTGTGATTTGATGGTAACATAATATTTATTTGTAGAAATGCATATCAATGTCATGGTCGAGGCTCTTCGGAATTTCGAGTTCAGTGAGGAGAAATACTATAATATTGTGAATGCAATGACGCAAAACATTTTGTGTGTGTGTGTAGACCATGCTAGATGAACAGCTAAATTGGACAAATCTTAACCAAGTGTGTAATTACATCTGCCGTGTTCCGCGTAGTTCGAATTTCACCGAAAGGCGGAAATTACATTTAATACGTTGTTTTAATGAGGTTTTTTTTTAAAAAAACATATATTTCAATGGGTTTAAAGGTCGAAATGCTTAGAGTTGTTTTTGAAGAACAAGAATTAACTACATACACAAATTTGTTATTAAGTATATTTAATTTTTCTTCCATCTCCAGAAATATTGAGATTATTTACAATATTATTAACGTAGTGCAAATCATTATATTTGGGTGAGTATTCTCATCTTTATATAGAAATAAAAACTAGATTCAGAACGAAATTGCTTCGGATAAGCACAACATTACTTTTGATCACCCTCGCGTACTCAACGTTAAGTACTGAACTCTTGTTTTTCTGTCTCCCCCAAGGCTATTTACTAACTGGTTAATGTATACAGAAAACATACGTAACAGACTACTAGACAAAGCTAGTTTCCACATGTTGCCATAATTGAAATCTTTCCTTAACAAGAATACGGTAAAAGATACTACGTACCTATACACTACAATTGAAATGCAAATCACAATTCAATGGAACTGCAAACATCTATTGACGTTTAAAAAGTGCTTACTCCACTAGTGATTTGCAACTTTTAAACAATTGCATTACAAACACAAAGACTGCTTAATTATAAATCAAATACAATTAAGAACTTTCTAAATAGTTAATTATTTACATTAATTAAATTTAACGACGATGCAAATTGTCTTTTCTATATAATATTTGTAATTAATTATTTCAATTACTTATTTATCCACTGACATACATAAAAAAATAACATTTAACTTAATTTATCAATGATTTCATTAAAATAATAGTTATTTTCAATTTTTAAACAGTTTCAATTATAAATTAAATATTTTGTGATGTGGTCGCAAATAATTAGTAACTTATTTTGTGTATAGTTTTGAAAATACTTATTATTTAATATCTTGCTTACTGCAACGTGCGCTGCAAAGAGACATTGTCATTACGCCATACTCTTTGTGAATTGCATAACATGTACAGCTGCGACAGGTCTTGTTGTTGTGATCAATACACGTTATTAACAATGAGGCGAGTTGTGAAAAACCCCAACGGATTTCGACGTTTATCACGCTCACAATATTGTTGCACAGAAATAGGAATAAAGCTAACTAAAGCTGGTCGGGTTATGATGCAATTAGGCGCATTTCCATCGCGATTTAGCCAAGTGAAAGGCAGGAAACCGTGGGG